GGGGGGGGGGGGGGGGGGGGGGGGGGGGGGGGGGGGGGGGGGGGGGGGGGTCAGAAGTGCCCGCTGGCATATGGGACACACCGCTGCCGCTGCTCTGCTGGTTTGCTGGTCCTACCTAGTTGTTGTCGTCGAGAAGAGCGCCTTCGGATCGATCTGTTTGGGTACATGCATTCAGGGAGCTGGTGTTCGTGTGTTTTCTCGTCCGATTTTTTTTCTTTTTTTTTGTGTGCTCGAATTGTTGTCTCATTTTCCTGTTATTTCTTTTTCTCTCTCGTTGCCCCCCCACACAATTCGTGCTTGATTGGTTCACTTGGTAAAGATGTGGAGCTTGTTTCGCGGTCTTGCTCTGTCGTATTTATCATGTCTTTGCGGTCGCCAGTTCACTCTGTTTTGGTGCGAAAAATCACGAGTGACAAAACCGCCCTGCTGTCTACAGTCTTTCACTGAAGGGGGTTGTCTATTTGACTCCCCTGTTGTTACTTGTTTAATATATGAAATGCGCCATTGTCGTGCCCACGAGGCCATTACGTCGTGCTGTTGACGTGCGTGTTCGGGTGTGATAGAGTTATTGCCGACTGCAAAGTTTTTGTAGCGGCCGGCCGGCGGGGCTTTTTTCCTCCTTTTTTTTTTTTCCTCCAGGGCCGTGTGCCAAGAAGAATCGGCACACTCACGGACACGACCGCTAGTCGAGTGCGTTGTTGGGGGGGGGGGGGGGTAAACATATGACGATATCCCGACAACGCTCTATCTTGTTGTAGTTTTTCGGGTAGTGGGCAGCAGCAGTAGCAGCATTTGTATCCTGCGTGTGTCTTGTGTCTGCGGGGACGGGGGCTACGGCGCCCCCTTCGTTTTTTTGTCAGTGGTGTATGTTTGGATCATCAGTAGTAGTCGACCAGATGTCCTCCTCGCCGTTTTGTTTCTTGGCTATGCTACTGCTATGCCGTTCACGACGGATATTTTGTTGGCGATTTCGACGGGGGGGGGAGAGGTTCCGTTCGTTTGCCTTTGTTTGTGATGGGAGAATGTTTGACCGACCTATCAGATGGCATCTCTTTCATGTCTTTTGTTGTGGTCGTTGTTGGATTATGCCTTGAGGCGGTGACTGGAAGCAGGGCATGTTTTGAGAGGGGGGGTGATGTGGGCGGGTACCGTGTGATAGACGAGCATTCAAAGAATGCTGCGGTCAGTTTTTTGAGAAGATGGTGTACGTATCATCTGTCTCTTCGTATCACATGGAGACACTGGCTGTGCTGGTAGACGACGCGGAAATAAGTCCGAGAGAAAACGGACCTTTTTTTTTTATGTTTCCAGCAACGCGTGAGGGTTTGGATGGGGTGCTATGGTTGTTTTGTTCGTTGTTTTATTGCATGTGTGACGACGAGGAAACGCAAAAATACATTTGCTTCCCTACATACAACACCTACCCGCGCTTTCGGTTTTGGGCGCCACCTCTGCACTACTGCTGCTGCCTAAACGACAACAACGTAGAGTATGTGAGTACATACCACCGCCAGTATTTGATTTTGGAGAAACACCTCGTCGCGGCGAAAGGGGAAAAACCACATGCGTACATGCTGCTGTTGGTGGCGTTTTTTCACATGGACGTGCGAGAGCTTGACACCGCAACAGAAGGCCGGCGGTGTGCCTCGCTCGATCCACACAGGCGAGCCGAGTTAGTTATCGTCCGCAGTTCTCGCGCAGGTCGGCTACGACGGCTTGAAAACAATCTTCGGCACGCATGAGCACAGCAGGATCTCGACACAACGTGTGTATGCCTCCTATCTTTGAGCGGCCTTCGGCTGGGTTATTACTGTCCCCTCTAGGGGGCTGGTCGAAGAAATCGCGTGGTACTAATTGCTTTTCAGTGGTTGGACCGAAGTCATAACACCCAACATCCGTCCCCGGCGACGTGCTTGGTCCATCATCATCGACGCCACAGGACAAAACGGGAACAGAAGGAAAAAATCTTCCTCCGTGATCACACGCCGTCGACTACTACACCCCCCGAAAGGGACACCACTATTTATTGTTCGGTCTGTTTTGGTAATTGCACGGGAAGCCGAAGCAGTTCGTTTCAATGTTCGCCGTCGAGGAAAGCGAGGGGACGGCGCCGTGTCACGCAGAAGAGCGTCCCAAACCAGAGCTACTGTACCACACCAACGCACGGCCTATTTACCATGGCAGAGGTGTTGCGAATATGGGAAATTGACATAATGACCTACCGACAACAACACCGCCAACGCCATCGGCATGTAAAATCGTTCCAAAGGTGGCTCAAAAATGTCCTTCCTATTCTGTCTATCCTAACGATATCCCTTCNTTGTTCCTGCATCCATTGGTCCATGTAGGTAGTCCTTGAACCCTATTCCTTCCTTCAACATTCCGTACACTTCTAGACCCTCCTTATCCTTGGATTCTTTCCTCAGATTCTGTTCTTCTCTCTCGGCACAAGCAACAGATATCTTCTCCTTGAACCCCTGTAGACCCTCCGTTTCCAGCGTTTCATCTTTGTCGATGTCGAGCCCCTTCCATACGACCTCTACAACCTTGACCCATTCCGTGGGTTGTCTACCCCTGTTTTTGTTTGCCCACTTCGCCTCCCATACAATTCTCGGCAACCTCTCCTTTCCCATCCCGCACATGCAATACGGCCATGTCAGCTTCCTCGCGTCTCTTCCCGCCCGTAGGGATTGGATCCCCAATTCTGCCCTGACGGCTGCATTAGACTACTTGTGCGCTTGGAGCATCCTACGATGATTTTCGCTGCTTTCATCTGCGCCGCCTCGAGTTCGTTCACTACGTTCTTATTTCCTTCCCATACTTCTCCGGCGTACTCTAGCGGCGGTACGATTACGCTCTTCAAAACTGTCAATTTGATGCGTGAATCGAGGTGCCGATTTGCGAATATTGGGTGCAGCTTCCCTGCTCGTGCTTTGCCCTTTTCCGCTACCTTGGACATGTGTGCATTCCACGAGCAGTCTTTTTGCAATCTCTACTCCGAGGTATGTGTACTGATCCACTACTGCAATCTCCTCGATCCCCCACTTCCATCTATCTTCTACTGGTTCCTCCTTGTTCTCGTTGCATACCATGACGGCACTCTTCTTAACGTTGGCAGACAATCTCCACTTATCAGTAAACTTCTTCACCGCGTCAACTGCAGTCCCTCAGGGGTGGGGGTTCCATTATACGTATTTGGGGCACCGGCCCTCCCCTGTAAAAATTTGTCCAAGGCCAAACGACACCCGCGCCATATCAGGCAGTATCGGGGGGAGGCTTCTGTGGCAGCTAGCTCACAAACACACACACACCGAGCATTGTCCATCATGCAGTCGCCGCGTTGACGTCTAGACTGTACCACTATCACAGAAAATATCGGTAGGAAGGGGACGGAGACATGATGACCATAAACTCAACACGAGACTTGTGGAAAGCAAACTGCATCTTTGGCGCTGGTACGACAAAACGTTCCTTCGTTTCGACCAAAAGCACTGTGCCTGCCGCACTAGTATAAACACCTGCACAGCGCCGCAAGCAAACAGGGCATGGTGGACGCGGTCTCGTCCCATCGACTCTTCTTGTGGGTCTCGTCGATCAACAGGGCTTGTTGTAACGCAGCATACACACGTCGTGCGACCCCCCGGGCAGACGCCGTCAACACCCTACGTATCCACCTCTGCCACTCACTGCTGCCTGCCCCCCTCTTATGCCTGCTGCACCTCAGACTCAGCAGACCCATCTCGTTCCTGTTCGTTAACTTTGATCTCTCCCTGGGCTTCGACCATCTCGATGATGTGTCCCATCACCTTCTCGAAGGTGGCCATGTCTCCGCGGTTGTTTAGGTCGCTTGTCAAGAATGTCGGGAGGTAGCACGACAACTGTGTGAGAGTAAGCAGAGGTTAGACGAGCTTTGCACGGGGAGGTACTAGAGCCACAGCTAGTGCGCCTCCAGCACTTGGTTGTACGATTAACCAAGAACATCGAAAATTTCGCCCATATCATTGGATGCGGATATAAATTTGTTGGAGCTTCATTGCAAGGCTGGGCCGGACTAGTCGTAGAAATCACATCTGTTTGCGGCCTACGCCACCTATTTATCGGGTGAGACTGTTTTGGTGATGTATTAACTTCACGGGAGGTAGACGACCATCCTTCACACGGACGAAAGAGGGAGTGCTCAAAGAGCGGCTCCCACAGCAAGGAGGGGCCCCGTGAATCATCGCGGTGCCCCCTATCAAACGGTTATCTTACCAGTCTGCGTGACACAAAATCATCCAGCACATGTATCCAACAGC